TAGTTAAGTCATTTTGAAAGAGTACTATCAAATGTGATGGATGAATTTCAAATTGGTGTTCACAAATGCTCAACTGAGACTTAAACCACCATCAACTAAGGAGTCATGGAAAGAAAGAATGATGTACAAATCACACATGGACACGCATGAGTCGCTCACACATCCACACAAATTTAATTGATATTAAAGCCAGTGAAGCACATTTAGGACTCAAGCCTAATTACAAGCTTGTCTGGGTAAACAGTAATAGCGAATGAAAAGCATATTGCCCCCCTCTTTTATAATGAGATCCTGACCCAGAGGTCAAGCAAATTATAAATATTTCTCAAACTGGCAAAAAAAAAAAATACAAGAGTTATTTTGCAAGCTTACATAATGGAAGAGGGGATTACAGAAGAATACCTCCTGTCATCTGTTTGGGCAATGATGAATAGAGTAGAGACAGAAAAAGAGAAGAGATGAGACAGACAGAAGGAGAGATAAGGTACTGGGAGAGACATAAAGACAGAACTGGGCCAGCTAGGTCGGGCTGAGCCAAGCAGACACATGGGGAAACAGGAGAGGAGGGTTGTCCATGTTTGTCAGGGAGGTCAGGGAGACCTTTGTGGAAAGTAATTGCTTGGGAAAGCAGGAGAAGGTTAAACACACGCTCTGCCACGATAGAAACTACTCCTAAATTTACAAAATAAACCTAAAAAGATTCACTGTACTAGGACAGCTAGGATGGGAATAAACTAACCAAAAAAACACACAAAAAGGGGACGAATATTCTGGCTTGTCCTACAATAAAAGTGAATAGGAACAGGAGCTAAAAAAACAAAACAAATCGAAACCCCCCAAAACATCTTTCCGACAGTACAATGTATTCTAATTTCTAACAAAATGGTCCTCTAAACGAAAATGTGCAATCAAATAATCACATACTTTACAAGGTATTGCTTTCTCAAGCATTTATTCAGTATCCTGTTATAAGTCATGGGAACATAAATATCCTGTGAATGATCAGCCTGGTCTCATGTTTATACGTAGGTATTAATATGTAACATTTACAAGCACAAAACGTACATTTTTGTACGTTTTTATTAATGCTAAAACGTACAATTTAGATGTATTTCAACATTTAAAACGTACAAATCGCTACATATTTTTAGCTAAAAAACGTACAAATATTTACGTATCTTTTATATCACTAAGATATACGTATCAATGCATTGTTATCATTTTATCAATAAGCAATTTAGATTTTTAGACCCCTTAAGCTACCTACAAACCTAAACCTACCCATTTTACAGCGAATATGCATTTTTATAATTTTATTAATACGCAGTTTAGATTTTTAGACCCCTTAACCTACGCCCAAACCTTAACCTACCCATTTTATAGCGAATATAAAAGGATATAAAACGCAAATGACCGAAATCTGCAGGAAAATAACCATTTTAGTAACAATATAGCATTAAAATATTGATTAATTTTTAGGTGTCATCAATACGTCAATTTTGTACGTTTAAATGCTGAAAATATGTCAGTATTGCACGTTTTAGTGCCTGTAAAAACGTAAGTAAATGTACATTTTATAGAACCACGTTACGTAAAATACATACGAATTATCATGAGATCACGTTGGAATGATCTATGTACCACAGATGAATACAACTCTTTAGTTCCATAAAACATGAACTTTTAAGTAAAATGATCTGACTTGGCTGCTATCCTTGTGTATCTACTGAGAAATCAAATTGGCAACTGGCATAAGGCCAATACTTGGTGAAAGCAGGAATTTAAAATAGTTGATGTTTCCTCTGTGCTCTCTTTCTAAGATTGCACTGCCTCCTTTAGAGAGCTTATGAGCAGGAGATGTGGTTACAAGGCTTTTTTTTTTTGAAAAACGTTAATTAAATTATCACCATTTTATGCCCTCTTCTTAAGGGCCAGGAACTTTGGTTGTCATCTGACAATCAGCAGTTGACTGATTGTGACCTTGTCTGTTGAGGCAACGTCGTTTCTAAACCAAAGGTAAATCAAGCTGGTGCTTTCTAGGTGCTTCCACAGCAGATTTCTGTGAGGATGCCAAATAAAATTTGATTGATTGACTGGCCTCTTGAATACTTGATTTATTGAGGCTGCGCTAAGGAGCTGCACATTTTTATGTTGTGGAAGCATCTTGCTATTGCTTCAAGGTAAACAGCCAAGACAGATTCAATTACACCAGGCACATTTTAAACTTCTTAGCACTGCATATCCATACAATCAATGCTAATCACAAAGCAATTTGATTCCAAGATCATGGTCAGGGGTTGTCCCTCAGGAAACATCTCTAGAGAGTTCATTAGAGAGACATACGTTTGCATGTTTTTGTGAGCAAACTTATTTTTGGGAGAGTATAAGTGCCTACCAGGTATGACTGAAAACAGATGTGCTGCTAGATTAATAAGATGGGGGTTTCAAATGCAGATTCTTAAACTTCCACATGTGGTCCTCACAATCTTGAACATGTGGTTACATCCTAACCCAAAATGGTCAATCCAGGACCAACAATGCTGATCCTACTCCAAAACACCACCGTGAATGTTCACATGCACGCATGAATAATGGCAGTGCAATTGCCCATCTCCACCATCAGAGGATGCAGCAAACTACTGCAATCTGACATACTTGCAAGGGCTGTACCACATCACTCCATCAATGCGAACCATACACCTGAATAAGCTCTTTAAAACATCAAACTATTACAGTGTGCTTGATTGCACACTTGTATACAGTATATGCACGGTTATCATTCTTCTTTATCATTTGATGCTGCCATTTTCAACAGAACATTTCAACAAACATCTCCAAAATAAAAGTCAGGACACTGAAAAAAGACAGACTTTTACATAAAATACGTTACACCTGGTTGGACTAATTATAAATGGTTAATGAATAAGAGAGGTTGCTAAAATACCACATAGTAAAGTGGTGAAACTGTTTTATGAACTTGTACTACTTGAATGTGTATATAGGCATTAGGGGTGGGCGATATGACCAAAATCTTATATCACAATATGAGTAATTTTATTTCACAGTAATAATATAACACAATATAGTTATTTTTGCTTTAAATAAGGTCTTTATGATATAAAAAATTTTTATACCATAGAAATTTCATAATTCTCAATATCACACAAAAAAGAATAAGAAACTAATTAACATGAATGATTAACTTGAACGACAGACAGCAGGAATATTAGACTGCTGTCACTTTAAGAGCTGCCTGGATTCCATATACTGTTACGTGTGTTTTCTTTCTCAGCTGTTTGCTTTCACTTAATACCTAAATTACTGTGTTTACGAGGATACTTGCAAAGATGGGCATTTTTTGACATTCAATTGTGTGTATTTAACCATTCAAAGCCTATAAAGTGGCAAAAATAACTCAATACTCTCACGCTCTATGAGCACCATCTTTACATGCACACACCTCTCTAACAGTGCTCAGAAAGTCTCTCAGACATTGTGCGCATATAGCAAAATGAGTTCTCTTTCACTGTTGATTGCGTTTCAACGGCCTGAAATCACTTGTTTTTAAAACCGCAATGCTTAAAAACGCATGCAAACGATATGTTTTCGTGACCGTGTAGCACAGCAGCGTCACGTGGGCGTGTAACCGTGATAGAGACGATAATCCAAAATCTCTACCAGTTGACAAATTTGTGTCTACCAGTATATCGCCCACCCCTAATAGTATATTTGTTTGTGGCACAGTAGAACAGAGATGATTTTTGTCTCTACCTGTCTGTTACTATTAATGAGAGACAGCCACCCATCCTGACACACACTCTCAGTGCCTGTCTGTCTCTTTAAGCAAAACGCCCCTCAGGTCCCACTCATTTCACATGCTGTATTTGCAGAGTGCCAAGAGACTGGAAAATACACCGAGATAAAGCGAAACTGCAGTGATGTCAGAAAGAAGAATGAGAGGGAGGGGGGGGGGGCCCTGATGGGG